CCATTAGTACACAGGGTTTACAAGTCTTGACAAGTTAACAGTGCGGTCGCGCATCTCGCCTGCGGCCAGTTGCCATCTTGCCCGCGCACTGTGCGGTTGGTGGTTTGCATTGGTTACCATTCATACAATATTGTGCTTGTATCTTTCTCATCATTTCTTCTCTAACATATGATTAAGATTTACTGAAAAGTAAATCTTGTGTACTGTTTGATTGCATTCTTCGCGAGTTAACCTAAACCACACCCAAGTTCTATGGTGCACTCGAGGAAGGAGGGAATTAGTGGAGTCTCGGTCTACAACGGAGAGTATATGTTTTGCGATGAGATGGGGATTTTTTTGAAGATTGTTCCCAGATATTTGCCAGATTTGCCTGTGCTTGACTTTGGATTTGTCAGTTGGGTGTGTTAGAATGAGCAGTCCATAAGTATTCACTTTTGGCATGTTCATATCTCTTTGGCTGAGGATGGACCTTGAATAGATTTATTCTCAGAAAGGCAGATGCATTAGTAAACAGTATTTACAAGTATGACCAGTCTTGACAGGTTAACAGTGTGCTCGCGCATCTCGCCGGCGGCCAGTTGGCACCTAGCCCGCGCACTGTGCGGTTTGACTCGGTTGTTTCCTTTCATCCAGCGATTGGTTGCTTGTTCATTATAATTCCTCTTTGAAAAATCGAACGATTAGTAGTAATTTGTTTGTGTAAAGCGCTTGTGAAGCATAAGTATCATGCTACTTGTGCCTCATATCCAAGGAGATTTTTCAATTGAGCAACATTGTGGCAGCTCTACAGATTGTTTTCCGGCTCCAGAATCCCAACCTTGTCAAGTTTCCTCATCATTTTTCCACTTCACATAGTGTCAACATTTATGTATTGTATGCCAAATTTATCTGCGGATGATAGTGGGCTTCAGCAAGAACGGTTCTTCTAAAAAGTGAGGGACATTCAAGCCAAAAAATCAGCTCTGCACCTCTTTACCACTAGAGTTTTGCGTAGACGAGATGCCTAAGTGGCTAATAGTGAGTCACTGTTGCCTGTTCAAAACAGTTATTCTACTAAGAATGGGAGAAGGTAAAAGTATATTGTAGAAGAGGAGGATCTAGCAAAAACGGGCCTGTGCTGGTTTTGGATTTATCACTTGGGTGTATCAGAGAGAGCAATCCATGAGTATTAGCTTTGGCATGTTCATATCTCCTTGGCTAAGGATGGACTGTGAATCGATTTATTCTCAGAAAGGCAGATGCATTAACACACAGGGTTTACAAGTCTTGACAAGTTAACAGTGCGGTCGCGCATCTCGCCTGCGGCCAGTTGCCATCTTGCCCGCGCACTATGCGGTTGGTGGTTTGCATTGGTTACCATTCATACAATATTGTGTTGTATCTTTCTCATCATTTCTTCTCTAAATGTAGCTTCTAACAAATGATTAAGATTTACTGAAAAGTAAATCTTGTGTACTGTTTGATTGCATTCTTCGCGAGTTAACCTAAACCACACCCAAGTTCTATGGTGCACTCGAGGAAGGAGGGAATTAGTGGAGTCTCGGTCTACAGTGGAGAGTATATGTTTTGCGATGAGATGGGGTTTTTTCCTTGAAGGTTGTTCCCAGTAATATTTGCCAGAAAAAAAAAAGTGGGAACAGACTTCGGTATGGAGGAGTGGGTTCTTCATGAGAACG